ACTTAATACGACTGAACTGTTAACACGTAAAAATGGTTACGATGGCAGATTTTCTGTTAGGTGTATTTTACCAGAATTTAAGATTTGTTAAAAAAAAAAAAAAAGTACATCACATACTGCAAATATTGTCACATAGGGTAAAGCTGAAGCGCTATTGAATTGAACGTTAAATTGAACATGCGTCTGAAAGAACCGTGCAGATGATAGAGCAGTGGAAGAAGCTGGGGAAATATGGCGTGTTTATTCTGAGCTCACATTGAAGGTGCCTCCATCCTTAGCACGATCAGCTTGCCCAGTGCCCTGGTCCTCCACCCCCTGCCACCCACACACATTTCTGCTCCTCACATGGCCCACCCGCCCGCATCCACGAGGCCTTGATCTGGTGCCCCCGGGGTCTGCACACACCCGGCAGCATCAGCGGGTGGAAGTCTTGAGTCCTGACATTCACAAAAACTCTGTGCTTAGCTTTTGCCTTGCCAGTCGTCGGGAGTACCTCTGGCAGACTCTTCTCAGCATCCTGTATCAGAGAAGGGGGTTCTGGGCCACAGCCTGGTGGGCAGGAGGAACATAGAGCAGTTGAGGGATGGCTCTGTGTTGTGCTCTTTCCAAGTGGAGGCTGAGAAGGTCCCTGTTCCCTCCTCGCCCTGTCTCAGGCTGCCAGCAGGCAGGCTTGGCTGTGACGGGGCTCCTGGGTACTAGAGGGACCTGAGAGCTGAGTTGTCCTCCTCCCCCCCAGTTCTGCGTGTCCTCATGCCCAGAACCATTATGCATCTTAGACACACACAGTGTCGAGGTGGCCCCCCGGGAGCCAGTTCCTAACTCTCACACCAGCCGGGAGAGGAGACAGGTCCGTTCGATGGGGCATTTCCCAAACCATGCTCCACAGGGCATCCTCTGGGGCTTAAGCACAGAAAGCTTTCCAAGTTCAAATCTGGCTGGGTCATTATACTGCTGTCTCCAGTTCAAAATGTCTTAAGCTTCTGATATTCAAGATGGCAATAATAATACTATTAAATAACAGCTAACATTTATCAAGGGCTTACTATACGCCCGGTGCTACAGCACAGATCTTCAGGAATTATTTTATTTAATACTCCCAACACCTGAGGCTTACTGAGACGAAAGTAACTCGCTGCAAGTCCAGGCTTTCAGGAGCAGGCCTTAGGGAAAAGATGAAGAAGGAAAAGAGGAAGAGAATTAACTACCATATTCATGCTTCACTTAAAGCAGCCCTTCTTAAACTTTAAAGGGCACACGCATCCCCTGGGAATCCTGTTAGAATGCAGAATTTGACTCAGTAGGTCCGAGGTGGAGCCTGAGTTACTGCATTCATCCAAAGACCAGGCTCTGAATAGGGGGGCATTTGAGTACCTACGCCTGGCATGGAACTCATTCATTCACTTGTTCATTTGTTCACTCATTCATTCACTCATTCGTTCACTCGTTCATTCATTTATTCATTCATTTACTCATTTGTTCACTCATTCCTTCATTCATTCACTCATTCATTTATGCAAACAGTCTAGTAGCAAAGGGCATGACACTCTCTGACATCTGGATCCAGATTCTAATCCTGACACTGTGCTTCACTAAGCGGCAATTTTTGAGTCTCAGTTGCCCATCTGTAAATTGGGAATGAAACTCGCATTTTATAGAGTTTTTGTGAATATTAAATGCAATAAAATGTGGCAAACATCTGCTCCAGGGTCTGGGGCATGGTGGACAATTTCATAAATGGTCGTGGTTTAGAGCTTATTTCAAAAAAAAAATTAATGTTTATATTTGAGAGAAAGAGACAGAGCGCGAGCAGGGGAGGGGCAGAGAGAGAGGCAGACACAGAATCCAAAGCAGGCTCCAAGCTCTGAGCTGTCAGCACAGAGCCCAACCTGAGGCTCGAACTCATGAGCCATGAGATCATGACCTGAGCCGAAGTCAGACGCTTACCCAACTGAGCCACCCAGGCAGCCCCTTTTTTAAAATTTTTTTAATGTTTGGAGCTTATTTATCATTCACTTATTCCCTCACTTCAACACATGGTTCCAGTAAGTTTGTTTATATTATAGCCAATTTATTAATTGAAATAAATGACTTATTTATTAAAATAAATCACTTATTTTAACATTTACTTATTTACGTATTTCCACAAAGACATCCCAGTGGCCACGAAGGCTGCCAGTGAGGGGCCTAGAGTCACAGTCATAGAGGAGTGGCTGTGGACGAAGAAACATGTCTCCTAATGGTTTTCACAAGAGGTAGGGACAGGCACAAGTGATGAGTGGTGGGAGCCACTTGGCACATGACTCCACCAGAAGAGGAAGAGTGAGAAACGTATGTGGTGGGGAAAGAGGGAGAGAGAGAGGCTGGAACTGGGTAAAATGTCAACAGATCGCAAGCTGTTAATTATCTGAGGAGAACTAAATATTATGGAGGCAATTATAGCAGGCGTTGGAAAGCAGTGATAGGAAAGTTGGGCCCCAGCCGAATTGCGTGTCCCCTTGAAGAAGGGCTGGGAGACTGGTTTCAGTGTGCAGAGCAAGCTTTTTACTCTGAGAGAGAGGAAGAGTGAGGGGGCTGATGGAGGGAGCCCAGGGAGGGGGAGTTAGGGGTCCCCTCGACCCCGCCAGTCCAGCCAAGCCAGGCACACAGCACTTTGCTTTGAAAGGCAGCCTTACCCCACCCCCCACCCCACCCCCGCATTCTCCCTCCCCGGGCTCTGGGCCTGGAATCCGCAGCCCCCTCCCCAGCCACCCTCCCTCCCCCAAGATGTCATCTTTTGAGACGATTTCATGTGGAAGCATCGCTAAGTAAATTCGCTAAATGCCTATTCATCCCCGTCAGATGGGGACTCGGTGAAGCGGTAAATGTGAAAATGGCCCCAGCTCAGGACCCTGAAAGGCGCTTTCTGGGGTTGCCAAATGGAGCTGCAGCCACTGACCCTGGGAGGCCTGAGGCTTCGCGCACGGGGGCCCAGGAGCCCCGGCCCGGCCCCTTCAATCCTCCCTCTGAGGCCGCTGAGAGGCCCTATTTATTATTCCTGCTGCCAGGGACCCATTCAGAGGTTAACTTGTCCCCGTATTCATCAGGACGACGATAATGAACTGTCCCAGAGTGGCAAGGGGGTTGGTAAACAGGAACTGCTGAGACACGGAGATCGAATGGGCCTCTTGAGGGTTTGGAAAGAGAGATTGCTTTCATTTTTTTTTTTATGGGCTGATCTTGTTCCCACCTCTCCCCGCAACTTCGGGAGGCCCTTTGCCCATGGCTGTCTGTAACTTGGTATGAGGCACACGTGGGCTTTACCTTGGAGCATGTGGGCAGGATTGTCCACACACGAGATGCACCGTTTTGCAGATGCGTGGGGTTAGCCATTTGGCTGCGTCCCTGGAATTTACCTCTGTGCGCCGCGGCAGGGCTTGGCTTGCGTGTTCCTATCGGATTTACTTCAGTGTGGACGGGGGTCTCTCTGCTACCGCTAGAATGGCCGCCTGTGTATTGGTGTTCATTTCAGTAATAGGATGGGACATCGGCAGGGCTCGTTTTCACTGCAGCGTCCCTTGACTGCTTTGTGCCCCCTCCGCTGGAATTATGAGTTGGTCAGCATGCGTCATCCAATCACAGAATAGGGGCTTGCAGTGGTGCGGCTGCAGGGAGTTGCAGGGAAATGAAGAGTGAGGCGTGGGGGCTGCTTAGACCAGATGGTGGCAGGTGGAAGGAGCAAAGCACTTTGCATTTATTGCGCACCTACTATATGCCCTTTAAATATTCCCAGCTATCCATTCGTTATATACGTACTGAGAGCCTACTGTCTGCTGGGCAGTCAGGGGGGTTCAGAGAAGGCTACCACCCAGATGTTAAATTACTCACCCTTGGGTCAGGAGTGGAGCTGGGATCTGCCTCTAGACCTTTCTGCTTCTAGAGCCCAGGCATTGCTTTCTAAGGCACCTACCTGCCCCCCAAAGTTCTGAGAGCCTCCATTCGGTTCCAGGAGTGTCCTTCCTTTCCACCGCCTCCATCTGGTCTCCCACTTTGAAACAATGGTTAACCCTTTCCTTCTAAGTAAAAATTCCTGAGCAGAGCAGATGATAAAGGAGCTGTCACTTCAGCACCGTTTACCTGTTTGGGTTTATTCAGCAGAAGAGGCGACTGCATTTCTGGCAGATGGAGACCCGTGTGACTGCCTTTTAAAATACTGTCACAGCTGTATGCACAAGCTGATTAGCTGTGACTACACTGCCTGCACCGAGATTGATGGCGATAAATTTGGGATAACAATACTGGGAACGACGTCATCTGTTTCAATCGCACTTCATATTTTTTAAAGCTCTCTCAATTGGTAGCCCACTGGTTATTCAAGGACTTAGTATTCATTCATCCAGCAACCATTAATGTAGCTCCTACCATGTGCTAGTGAGGAGCAAGTCCCACTAGGTTCTGTCCTGATGGAGCTTACATCATAACGTAAACAAGTTTAACACTTGCAGGTGACAATAAAATAGTAATGGAAATAAAGGGATATGATAAAGATGGGGGTGGGGGAGGCTGATGCCACATTAGGTTGGGTGGCCAGAAAAGGCGTCTCTGAAGAGGTTACATTTGAAAGGAGACCTGGATGATAACAGCAAGCCAGACCTGGAAAGATACAAGGCAGAATTTCCCAAGGACAGCACGTGCAAAGACCCTGAGATTGCTGTGTATCGCATTGAGCTACACACTAATGACTTACTGTTTGCCACGCCCAGTGCTGAGCACTGGAGATTCCAGAACAGCTAAGGTAGTATGCTTATACTCAAAGAGTGTACAGGCTATAGGATAGGTAGGATACAAACACGCTAATATCCCCTTTTAATGTAGTGTGGTAAGCCTAGGGTGGTGACCCATGAAAGAAGATGCTTTATTAGCCTGTATGGACCTTATTTCTGTGACCACGAAGGGAGCCAAGACTCAGAAAGTGTCCATGGTCTCTGGAGGACCCTGACCTTCCTCTTGGTTTGTTTCCACAGGACGAATGACCAGCTGGTGGCATTTCTCTCCCGATACCGAGATATGAATTTCCTGAAGTCACACGGCCGGGACAATGCAAGGTAGCACATCCTCCCCCTACCCATGTGCAAAATGGAAATGAAAATCTGAGTGATCATTTTGGGGCTTCCTTTGAGGCTAGCCTAGAGGAAAGTAGAGGACAGGAGGAAGGCATGGCTCGGGTGGGCCCCTGCCCCTTCCATGTCGGGTCTGCAGCAGTCTTTCCCGTCAGCCAAGGACAGGGATAATAGTAAATGCATCTCCTCTCGTAATAGCCCTTTACACCCCCCCCCCAACACACACACACACTGAGCACTTTCCCGGGTCCATTATCTCATTATGGCAACCCTTTGAGGTAAGTAGGGCAGCCATTGTTCATTCCCACTTTATTGGTGGGATGACTGAGCCCCATAATTTAAGTGATGGCCCAGATCACTCATTGGGTCAGCCATTCAGCAAACACTCACCCAGTGCCAAGCATGTGCCAGGCACCCTTCTAGAGCTGAACAAGACAAAACCCCCATTCTCATGGAACTTACTTCCTGGTGAAAAAGAGTCTCATGCCAGCATGGAGTTGAGCTCATATATCCTGATTCCCACCCTTTGCCCTCACCAGTGCCTCACTCTTGCTGCCCAAGACATTGGCAGGGATTCAAGGCACCAAGAAGCCCAATCTGGATCCACAAATAGCATGCTGCAGTCCCACTTTCAGCAGGGTCAATATCTCTGTGGCCAGAGATCAGCTACGAGGGATTCAGTCTCAAGCGCCCCCTTTAGGGGAGATCACATGATAGGCCTCACCGTCCCGATGGTAAACACCATTAAAAAAAAAAACCAGCCCAGATCACTGACATGCTGGCAGTTTTTTCTAGCTTTGAACTCAGACCATAACCTGGCAGCACATGGGATAATTTTAGCTCGTTGATGTGTTTTGTTTGGTTTGGCTCTTGTGTTGGTTTTGTTTTGTTTTGTTTCAGTTCAAGTGCTCCATTTGAAAATGAATAGCCCCATTTAAAAATAGCAATGTTGGGGCGCCTGGGTGGCGCAGTCGGTTGAGCGTCCGACTTCAGCCAGGTCACGATCTCGCGGTCTGTGAGTTCGAGCCCCGCGTCAGGCTCTGGGCGGATGGCTCAGAGCCTGGAGCCTGTTTCCGATTCTGTGTCTCCCTCTCTCTCTGCCCCTCCCCCGTTCATGCTCTGTCTCTCTCTGTCCCAAAAATAAATAAACGTTGAAAAAATAAATAAATAAATAATAAAAAAATAAAAATGAAAATAAAAATAGCAATGTTTCCCAGGCACATCCAGCTCATCTTAAAAGATCCAAAGGTCCACTGACTCTGGGCCTCAGGTTTCTCATTGGAGGCTATCACCTGGGTCATAGACAAAGCCCGTGTTCTCCTGTCCTCTCCTGTGCCCCTTCCCTACCTGGCCCCCACTGGCATTTCAGTTTGTAGTCTGCTTCAGGCGTTCTGTGCAACTGCTGACTGACCTGCCCTCTGGCTGGCTCTGTAACTCAGTTTACCGAGGTACCTACAGCAGGGGGGGGGGGGGGCGGGGGGGACCAGAAGGTAGCCTTGAGCTCCATCTCCTGAGCTCTCCAGATGTAACCCCAGAATCCTTTGTTGTGTCATTGCCTAAATTCTAACTCTGATTTCATCCAGCTGTTTATAGCTTGTTCCCATCCTACTGACAGCCTGCATTTTTTACATTTAGAAGGAGCCCCCAGACTTGAGGATGCTCTGTAAATCAGCATGATTTACAGATTAGCGTGAGCATGTTCCCACCGCTAAAGGGAGAGAGGCCTGGGTAGATCAAGAATTACAGCCACTGTGTGATGTGTTCCTGATAAGTGCCCTTGCTCCGCTGACCTTTTCCCTGTGGGATCCAATTTCATTCTTAGGGCCACTCAATGCAAAATAAGAATCATTATCCCCATTTGTCAGGAGAAGAAAGGGATTTGGGGGAGTCTAAATGATTTTCCCAAGGTTACACAACTGGTAAGTGTTAGAATTTGAACCCAGTTCTCTGACCCCAAAGCCCATGGGAGCAAGGTAGAGCTGAACAAGATTCCATTCAGGTGTTAGTTATCAAAACTGGCCCAGATGTTAGTGTCTAGGCCCTTAGGTTACCTCCAGGTAACCTTGTAATATGTGTTTTGTGCAAAGTTGTTTCATCAGAAAGGAGCCCATTGTAATTTGATAGACTTGTGTCTGAATTATTATCCACCCTGGTATTATTATTCCTGCCTAGTTGGTATTTATTCTCTGTCCACTATTTCTAGGCCCAGTGCTTGGGACTGGGTATGTAGCACAGAGGTTAAAAGCGTGGGCCTTGAGGTTGTACTTCCTGGATCAGAGTCCTGCTCTGCCATGTCCTAGCTATGTTGCATTGGACAGGGGTCTTAACCTCTCTGAGCCTGTTCCCTTACCTTTATAGTGGAAATAACAATAGGCCTACACTCTTGGGGTTGAGAGGATTAAATGAGATGCTGCATATAAAGCATCCACCATATAGTAGATGCCCTATGTGATGGTGGTGATGATGATGGTGATGTCATGGCTATGATAAGTGTAGGATGAAAATATTGTGGTGGGAGAAATAAATAGATGGTATTCGGGCTAGAGTTACCCCGCTGGGTGTGTGAATACCTGTCTGGTGGATGTGCGCCAGTAGCTGACAGGTAATACCCACATGGCACAGAACAACATAAAGGTTCCGGCTAAGATGTTGTTGGCACTTCCTGCTAAAACTAAAACCCAAGGATCTCTGAACAGAAAAGCTCCCATATTCCACTACCCAGGAATGAGCCCTTGGCTGGTTTTCTCTTACTTGAATGAATGAAGGGCAGTAATGTCGTATTAATTTCATAGTAAAATGAGCCATTACCTGCCACCCTCTCCTCTCTGTCAGCTGGGGCCTCACCTGCTGATGAGTAACCCTAGCCACTGGGCGTCTTCTGTTGTCCCCTCCCCATCGCACAGAGCTGGGCATGGCTAGGCTGCAGACCCTGCACGGGTGATGTGTCATAAAGGACCCTTGGTGGCAGATGACAGAAACCCAGCTTAAACTAGACTCAGTGGGTAAAGGAAGTTAATGGAAGGAAAACCTTGATCTCTGACTTCAGATATGGCTAAATCAAGCAGTTCAAATGCTTTAATCACACCTAGACTCCGTTAGTTCTTTTCTTTTCCTTTTTATGGGGGGGGGGGCATTTAATTATTTACTATTCCTGGAGTGGGTTAAAGTAAAATAAACACATCAAATAGCCAAATAGTTCACTGAGGGGAATCTTTTTATTTTTTTAATTGAGATGTAATTGAACATACAACATTATGTTAGTTTCAGGTGTATGACCTAATGATTCATTATTTGTATATATTGCAAAATGATCATAATAAGTCTAGCTGACATCTGTCACCCCACATGGTTACATTTTTTTTTCTTGTTGATGAGGACATCTAAGATCTACTCTCTGAGCAACTTCCAAATACACAGTACAGTATTATTGGCTATACATCACCTCCCCCCAGCACGTATTTATTTCACACCTGGAAGTGTGTACTTTTTGACTCCCTTGTTTAGTTCTATTTTCCTTTGTGTTGGTTGGATTTTCTGGCTCCAATGGTGACTTAGTAGCTTCATTTTAGAGACGGGGAAACTGAGACTCAGGTGAAGTAATTTGGTGAAGCCCACATAATTACAGCAGTGCTAGGACTCCGGCCCAGATGCCTGTGTCCCCAGAGCCCAAGCTCATAACCCTTGTATGATGCAGCCTGTCTGTATTCTGGGCCTGCTTTCCTCCAGGATGCTGGGTGACTTTCAGGCAGCGACTCTGCTTCTCTGGGCTTCACTTTCTCCCTTTGAAAAAAGAAAAGTGGATGAATAAGATGGTCTCCGAAGGCACTTCTCCTTCTGACGCTCTCTGCTCCTGGACCAGCCCTTGTAAAAGACATTGTGACAAAGGCAAAGAGTTTAAAAGATCAAACGATGTGGAGGGACCAAAAACAAGCAGTAAGATACGAAATAGGCCACAGGGTGCCTCGGTTTTTAGTTCCACGTGGCTCCTAATAGCAGTGTTGACCTTCTGTCCCCATCTCCAGCCCTTGGCAGCCAGTGTGGATTCCCAGCTCCTGCTCCGCAGGGATGGCATAAAGGCAAACTAATATTTTAATAGTTGCCAAATTGGTCCTGACTGTTCCTGTAATTAAATGAAGGGGAGTGTTGTGTTCACCATTTCTCCTTGCTTTCCTCCAAAAATAAAGTCGATGCAATGAAAGGCACGCAGCACAGTTACTGATTTCCCAGTTAGCCTCTGTAGGGTGAGCAGAAGCAGGTGTCCTAAAGCTCACTGAGGGACTAAACATGTCCTTGCAGACTAAATAGGTCCTTGCAGTTACCCTGGAACTCCTGGCTTCTGTTCAGGGAGCATTGGAGAAGTTTCCCAAATGTCTGCAACCTGATTGTTGTGGGGACCTGGGACGGGGGGTGGTCTGATAGGGGCTAGAAAGGGAAGATCCTTTCTACCAGCCAGAATAGGGTTTCCTCTGACACTTTCTCTGCCTCAGTCCATCTGAGCTCTCTTGCTGATCCAAGGTCCACAGGCCCCCATGCTGAGCCCAGGGACACATTGTGGTACAGGGGCAGGTACATGAACATTGGAGGCCTGGCACCTGTGTTGAAATGCTGGCTTGCTCATGTGATGGCCATAGGACTTCACCAGATGGCTTTGACTCTCCAAGCCTCTGTTTCCTCATCTTTATAAAATGTGAATAGGGAGATGGGCATTGTGGAGGACGGAGTGTCCTCGCTGACCCTGGGAAGGCCCTGAACCAGGCACTTTCTGGTGTGTTGTCTCATTCCCAGCTCACTTGGCAAGTGAGATCTTCGAGACGAGTACAGCTGAGGCTTAGAGAGTTGATTTTACTTGCTTAAGGTTCCACAGCGAGCAGACCGCAGAGCTGGGACTGGAACATGGCTCGGTCTGGCTTTCAAGGCCTGATTTTATCACGCCGTGATTCATGACCACATCTGACAGGACCTGCAGTTTTGCCTTTGGGGCGTAC